CAATGTGTTACGTGGCCGGAAATAAAATACTTTTATATTCCATGCGCCATTCGAAATATACACCAGCATAAGATACTTCCAAATTTAATCTGAAATATTACTGAGTTATAAACTATACGATTTAAAAGCAATAAACACAGTTCTTAATGACACCTTTTTCTACTGTTTAATATTGTTGATTTAAATAAACTTGCATTAAATCATGAGATGTCTAATTGGAAATATCCAATATTTTTATGAAATTACACTAGTTAGACTCATTAAAATCATTACATAATTTTCCTTTTTTATGATACCTATTTTTGCGGCTAGCCGGCCGAGAGGCTTGTGCTTAAAGAAATAACATAGGGAATATAAAAATATGTATAGCAACTTTTAACATACCATCAAGAATTCGAAAAATATGCTCTTTTCAAATAATTTTTTTTTTTTTTTTTTTTTTTTTTTTTTTTTTTTTTTTTTTTTTTTTTTTTTTTTTTTTTTTTTTTTTTTTTTTTTTTTTTTTTTTGTTTTTGCTGTTGAATGAACTTACCATGAACTTTATAATCATGAACACATTAATGACTCATGAACTCTACCTAATGAATACTGAAAACTATTTGTGATCATGAACTCTAAAATACAATTTCATTCTCTTCTACATTTTATACTTCTATTTTATTAATTTCATTATATAATACATCATGTATTATCCTATATTTTAGCACGTTATTCAAAATTCTAATTTTATTATATGATATATTATGTACTATTTTATACTTTATGTATTTTGCTATATTTTATTTTCTATATTTTAAGTATTATGCTGTATTTGTCATGATATATTCTATTATAGAACGACCTTAAAACTTAAGCTTAGAAACAAAAATAAAGCTCAACAAGCCTTAAAAAAAAATCTTTTCGGTAACCGTTATTTTTAGTCCAAAGGAGCTTTGTCCCTGAAGGACTGCGATTTTGAGTCGAATCACTCTGAATTTCCGTTTCACTTTTCAAACTGTTGCCACCAAATACTATCGCCCTGTAGTATATTTGAAGAAATTAAATAATAAAGTATCTGCATAAATGTATATATGTTTCTCGCATTGTGATAAAACAACAGAACCTACAGCAATCAAATTTTGAAGGACGTAATCCTACTGCGAATATGGGCATCTGGAAGCTCAAATTTTTAACAAATTTGAGCTTCCAGCTATTATCAATTTCATATTTTGTAAAACTGTAACGAATTTTTGATTAACAAACTCAAGGATTTCAAAGCGAGCAATGACAACGTTGTACGCAAAGAACATTTTTATCTCCATCGCGCCAGACTTTGTATCGGAAATTCTAAAGCTATGCTCAATTTAAAACTATTTTCGATATTGCTCTTGAACTGAATTTTATGGTTTAAGTGCGAAGAACGTGATATTTGATAAATAAAGCTAACAGACAAAATGTTAAAAAAACGCCCCTTTGGACGTAATTTAAAAAATCTGAAACTTTTCAGATTGTTTTTTATTATTACGTCAATCAAATTTTTCACTTTACTTAAAAAAATTCTCATCCGTTAGATTCTTTCAAATCGTTCATTCGGCCTGCGTGGAATTTGAGTTTGAGCCACTATTTAGAAAATTAAATCAAAATATTGATAACGCCGATAGCAGTCTTTCTCTGTGTTACTATCAAGCAGTTTAAATTTTAAACACGGTGTTGTTAATTTTACACCCGTTATCAGTCCTGAGTTTATCAAATGCGAAGGCGCTTTAAAGCCTTTATTAGCATCTATATTAATATATTATACATATAAAAGATTTATCACCATGCTTTATTTTATAAACATTTATTTATTTAAAATTGAAGTATAAATTCCAGGCTCTCAGGTTAACAATGATTCTTTTCCCTTTTCCTTGTTAAATGGATAAAGAATAATGTATTTCCTTTGGTACTGTTATTGTAAGGTTAACCCCTAAGTTGTGTATGTAAATATATAAGTAAGTATGTAATTATAAAATATACATATGTGAAGTTGTCTAAAAGTACAGAAAACGTGTAAACTTTAAATAAATATAAATATAAAGTGAGTCATAAATATAGCTACGTGTTTGAAATAAATGCAGTGCATTGCTATTATTAATACGCTACATTACCCCTACTGTAGAACGAAATGGAATGGTACTTTCAATTTCAAACTTCGTTATTTTATTTGAATTAAGTGTGTGTGTGTGTGTGATTATGGCAAAGCCTCGAGGGCTATCTGCCTAAGAGGAGGGATGCCTTCGTGGAGGACTTTCTAAGGGAAACTGGCTCGTATACACGTTACACATGGGGAAAACCACGAAAACGCCCATGCAGCCAGCCCGTTCGCGGGATTCGACCCTCGGACCGAACTACCAGTGTTCAGCGACTTTACCGCTCGGCCGCTGGTGGGCTATTTGAATTAAGAGTCACATACCTGAGTTTCAGTTTGTAGGGTTTATATTTATTTTAACTAACATTTATTTTAAGTTTAAACTACCTTTCCTGTCAAGCCTTACTTTTCCCCTGGAACTGCCAATGCCAGAGTATGTAAATTTTAGTAGAACGCGCAAGGATTCAAATTATCAGCGGAAGTATTCTGAGTTAAATAGAAAGGAAACGAGTTCAAGGTGTGCTGTTCTTACTTCACGAGCGCGGAGGTAGTTAGCCAGAAATTGAAGAACCCGCGTTTCGGCCTGTGTGCTTGCCTGGAAGTATCGTTATCGTTAATCGTTCAACGTGATCAAGTTTGCTGAATTAGCAGCGGTATTGTAAAAACGCGGTGAGGTTAGTTACTTTTTAGAGAGCCTCGTAGTTAGAGTCTTGTCTTTAGTTTCTTTTCAGGTTATTATTTTTATTTGACCGCCGAGTTGGCGCAGTTTGTGAGCGTCAAGAGCACGCACTTGTAATTTATTACGTTGAATAAAAAGGGACTTAAACCCTTAACAAGACTCTGTCTTTTATCCAGTTTTCACAGTCACCTCTTGGTTGCGTGCAAGTTGGAGGCGCGCAACGCTACAAGTTATTAGCTAAAATGTCGCTGGACACACGGCACAGCAACAACCGCATTTCCTGGCATAGTTTTCCTCTATCTTTTTAACGTTAGATTCTGAAAATTTTAAAAACTTTCGCATCATTTTTTTTCCTTTCTCTGTTGTATCTTCTTTCTTTTTCCCTGTGAGGGTTGTTTATCGGTAAATTGTTTACCATTGATTATTTTTATTTTTATTTAGTTTATTCAGTTTATATTTGCACTTTTGTATTAAGCCACTCAACCGGTATAGTGGTTAGCGTCGCTGACTGCTGTTCCCAAGAGGGACATTCCAGGAAAAGTTCCTCCTGGGAACTGCGGTTAAGGCTCATTCATGTGAAAAACTTCTGGACTTTTGACAAGGTAACTAAAACTGAGTGAGTTGCGCGACGTGTCTCACTGTATGATAACTAACAGCAGTTGTGATGTTAATATCACGAGGATGGGTATGTAGCGAATACACCGCAAGCGGAAGATGAAAATAAGGGGCGGCAAATTTGGTCGGTATCCTGTAAAATGGAAATTACCTGTGCAAAGACTATCCAAAAGGCGGTAAAAAAGGTCTTCTTTGTCCAAAGACTAAAATAAATTGTTAAATTTATAAATAAATTTTTATATTATATTAAATAAATTATTATATTTAAAATTATATAGAGGCGCCCAAAAACCTGCATGCAGGGACTCAACCCTCCTAGGAACGGTCCTGAATATTATTGTACACTCTTATAATTAGAATGTTATTAGAATCTAGGCTTCTTTAAAAGAAATGATATTTTTTTTTATTCTTGCTATAACTGTGTTCTTGAGAAATTAAATTTTTCGCAAAATTTTCCCCTCTCGATTTTCGGACGATAAATTTGGTTAAAAAGAGGGGAATACGCGTGGAAATACGGTATGTGTGACATCACCAAGCTTATGTATGAGTAAATACTTTTACGATGAAGAAATTAAATTTGTATTCATTAGCATTTCAACCATTTTATTTTCTCTTGTATTTATTATTTGAAACGTATTTTGGGCAAATTCTTCGTTAGGGAACTTGGACGTGGCAAGTGTCCTCAGACTTAAGAAACTTTGCAAACATGTGATTTCATCTTACTTCTGTTATTTGCAGCTGATTGTAGCCTTATCTGTCACAGATATGTTTAATCTTTACCTTTCTATTTCGTTCTTCCAATGTCCCTCTTAGGAACAGCTACCAAGACTCGGAGCTGCCCCTGGGGTACTTGAAGGTCCGGCTTAGACCTTCAGATATTGTTATGTTAATATCACTATGTGTTCTTATTGGAATGTAAGTTTCTTTTAAAAGAAAGAAATTAATATTGTGATTGTTACCAGTGTTTTATCCAGGACACCTTTCCATTTGTGATGCTCTTGCTGTAACCGCGTTTTTCGGAAGTTAAACTGCTTACATAATTTTCCCCTCTCGATTTTTTGGACGATAAAATTAATTAAAAAAAAGGAGGGAAATATGTCTGGAAATATGATCACTACAAACATGGAGTGAACGATCCTGAAACGATGAGACTGGCAAGATATGATTTTCACATAGCGTTATTACTTTGAGAAAATTGTGAAGAGGACTGTTAACACCGACAAATATCCAGAAAAGAAACCTTCTCGAAAGATTTACATCGATGAGGCAACATCGACAATAATTGCAGAAACACTCGCTAAGAGGCCGTAGGGGAAAAAAGAATAATCTAAGTTTGGTATTTCTGTGCGTTTGTTCTTTAACTGAGCAACTGGTTTACCAACACCATTACCTCACTTTTCTTAACCATAATACAGGGCATCAAACATATGGCCATATATTTGACTCACTAAAATAAATAGATTTTGTTCGTTATCTTAAAGAAAATTAATATTAGAAAATCTTTCCTACGGCAAAATGTTTATTCAGTTCATTAATTACATGCCTAAGTAGGCTTAATTGGGTTTAATATTCTAATTAAGCATCTAAGTATGTTTTCGTTTGTTTTCTTTTTTGAAATGCATCAGACCAAACTTTTATATCAAAATGTAATAAACATACAATATTTACAAAAGATTTTATTGGCTAATGAGTAAGCCTTTCTCTGTGATTTCCAATAAAACACATTTCTTCATGTATAAGTACATGAAAGTAAAATTACTTGTCTTGTTATTATACAATATTTATTCAAGTGTTTTATTTACAGCGTCATTACGAGATTCTATGTTATACTGAGAATTTTGTGGAGCATTTCCACCTTTTTTAATTTCTACACCAAAATTTATGTTTCCTGTAATGGATTTTGCCCTAGATTTCTTCACGTGAGGAAGAACATTCCGTGCTACATGCAAGCCTACAGTCGCCAGCTGTCTGATTGGATATGTTCTATCCTTCCCTCCGTCTACCAAGATTTTAACATTAGAATGTTGCTGTTCAATATTTGAATTCTCAACATTATAGAAATCTCCACTACCGTGATGGGTCCCACTATTCTGGCTGTTTCCGTTACTATCTTGCTGAATGTGATAATAATCTTCTCCTGACCCACCACTATTTTGGTAGCTATTATCATCCTCTTCCACTAAAATTATATCAATTGGTTCTTCGATTTGGTATTTGCTATGTGTTGGCTTCAAACTTTCGTACTGAAGAAACTCTGACTGTTGTAAATTTTTATTAGCTGCATAAGACATACCATAAGGCATTTTGTTACCAAGCAACTTTGCAGGATTTTTTCCGCTAGCAGTTCCAGTTTTTGTGAAACCATGACGTGGGTTCTGGAAACTTCCTTTACCTTGATTAAATGACGAATCTCCACTACTGTGAGCAAAAGGAGTTTGCCGATTGCTTCTGAAATTCCTCTGTTTAAAAGATATCCCTCTGCTGTCACTTAAACTATTACCATTATAAAATCCTTGGCTGGGTGAAATTCCACTATTTATACCAAATCCAACAGCTGTGGCGTGTCGTTGATTATGTGTACCAGTATTTAATCCGCTGTTTTTATACTGCTGTTGATCATAAATAATTGCTTCACCAGTACTTTTCAAACTTCCTTGAGATGCGGAAATCCCTTGCCCATGAACGGATCCTTCAGTTTGAGGTATTGGATTATTTAGTTTTTTAAAGCCGTAGCTTTGTTGTTGAATAAAATCAGTGCCTTTGTAATGGCTGTTTAAATTTCCCTCTTGATTGTTACCTCGACTCTGATGTGCACCAAAGTTTAAATTGTCATTTCCCGCTGTGTGTAATGCGATACCAATTCCCAGAGCTTTAGCATTATTTTGATCTTGATGTTCAATACTTTTATAAATTGGCTGCTGTTGTCCACTGCCGTGAGAAATTCCATGACCAGTACCTTTAAATTCTCCTTGAGGTTGGATTAGTACATGTCCAGATCCTCCATATTGCGGTTTAAAAGTATTTTGCTGATTATGCCCAAAATTTTGTTGTGAGAAATCTGAGCCCTTATAATGCCCATTTAAGTTATTCTTCTGCTGATTGTTATAATTCCCATGATTTTGAATGTCTTCAGAATGTACGCCTGTATTCCCAGAAGCGTGAACTGCTATTCCTATACCCAAAGCTTTGCCATTATTGATGTTTTGTTTTTCATGATTTTGCTGCGAATAGCCTTGTTCATTAACATCCCCAATAGCAGTGCCTTTCAAATGCCCTTGAGGTTGAGGTAGTTGTTGCCCATAAGACCCTTCAGTTTGAATTAATATATTATTGGGGTTTTTATGATCGTAACTCTGTTGATTTTCGAAATTTGAATTCTGATGTATATTTGAATTTTGCTGGTGTCCGTCGTAAGTACCTTGATGCTGAGGTACGCCAAATCCGGCATTATTTTTGCCTGAATTGTGCACTGTAATACCAATACCTAAAGCCTTATTTTGGCCTTGAAGTTCAGGAAAATCCTGACCTTTATAACTCAGTTGCTCTCTTTGTGGATTTTGCAGATCTGTCCCTTTATAATGTCCTTGTGCCTTTGCAGAACCGTGATTCAAGTGCTGAATTTCTGAATCGCCAATCGGTATGGCCAGATTAGTGACTCCTGCATCTTCTGAAATGCTGTATTCTGAACCTTGAAAATTTCCTTGATTGTGATCATTTAATGTAGTCGGTGTGCCTTTAAAATGATTATCATTTGTCTGTGTATTAAATGTTAAATCGTAAGCAGAGTTACCTAAGTTGTAATCTTGTTCAGACGTTTTTACACTTTCAGTGTTTTTATTCGTACCTTGGCTTGAATTCAGTTCGTATTCTGAACCTTTGTAATGATCTACATTTTGCACAATACCTGATGTACCAAAATTATTTACATTGGGAGCAGAATGCTCAATATTCCCCTTTTCTCCAAACTGCCCTGCATTAGTACCATGGCTATATGTATTTTGATCACAGAGAAGAATATAAGCTTGTTCCCCTGTACCTTGGTTGTTTGCAGCAGTTTGAACAGAAATGTGGCCTTCGTTATTAGGATGAGTATGAGCTCTTTCTCCACCAACTTCTGGAGAAATATGGAGTTGCTGAAGATGTGTAACAGGTATTTCGATATACCCTATATTTTCATTACCATTATTAAAAGCTTTCTCGGGTTGTTGTGAAATAAACTGATTGTGTATCACTGTTCTCTGATTAGGCACGTTTCTGTTATGAGGGAGATTTTCATGTCCGTGGTTATGCAAGTACTGTTCACTTTGTGGATGTATAACTTGAATTAGTTGTACGTTATCTACTATGAGAGGATTTTCCTTTCTATTAGCATTTGGAAAGAAAACAGTTTTGGGACCTTTAAATTCTTCCTTCTGGTTTAGATTGGAATTAGCAACACGCTTCTCGTCTTCTGGAGTATTGATCAGCTGGATGTATACTTGATTACGATTTCTACTTTGACTATGAAATGCCTGTTGCCCATCTTCTAATAAATGCCCATGCAATTTATTTTCTAAATTCACAGGAACTTGTTGTGGAGCAGTATTAAATTCTTGATTCTGATTCTGGTGAAACACTGGAGGTTTAATATCATCGTTCAAAATCTGGTGCTGTCGATTATCCTGCAGCAAAACTACGTGGTTTGAAGCCCTGTCGGATGCAATATTTTGTCCTCTCCCATTAATATTATGATTAATATATAATGTCTCTCTACCAGGCTGTACAAGAGGCTGGTGGTTATTATTAAATCTAAAATTGCCATTTTTCAGATTATCATTATGGTTCCTTATGATATATTGACTAGAAAGCCCATTACCATGATTGTTTAAAATCGCATTTTGAGGAATCTGATTTCTTACTCTTGGTTTAACTACTTTGACAATTTTTACTTTTCTCCTAATTGGTAGTCTTGAAGGCTGGTCGGGTTTGTATGACTCACTGTAATAACCAAAGGTATCATCTTCAGGGCCATAGTTCTTCCCAGGAATATGGGCCCCTTCCACGAGAACAACAGTTTCGTCTTGCTTTCGTATCTGATGATTTTCGGTTACATCAATTGGAATATGATGATCATCAGGTATCAGCTTTTCAGAATCAAACCTTTCGTTAGAGGGATTGCTTTCTATATTCACCCGTTCTTGCTCTTCTTCCGTTGATGTAGAATGAACAGATTTCTCCTTTACAATTGTTACTTTCTGTGTATCGCCTGCTTCTTTGAGAGATTCAACATTTTGCTCTTTCCCGTTCACAGACTGCTCGACACTGACTCCAGCGTTGGTACCACCACTTAAATCTGGAAAGAACTGGTGAGCGTTGTAATTAGCTGTGTCATGTGAAGGCACTTCCTTTATAGTTTGGTCTGAAGTAGTGAGTTTTCCATTTTCGTCTTTTGGTGTTCCGCTTTGATAAGATGAGGTATGCTGACCAACACTATTGCCTCTTAAAATGCCATGATTCAAAACCTGTGGTTTTGATACTAATGAACGATGTTTTACAATTCTCTTTGGCACATTTCGGAACTGACGTCTACCAAATTTTACCAATCTACTACGTGGCTCTCCATTTCTAGAAAGAATATCATCAACTTTTCTTCTAAACGTATCAGTATGAGTATTTTTGTATTTTCTCTTTTCTTCTGGAGGGGGAATGGAAATAAAAGAATGCTCTGCGGCTTGTTTTGAAAGATTTCTGATTTCCGTTTCGGAAATGTTGAAGACTTTTAACTCAGATTCATTTGGAGACAATTTTACTTGCTCCTCCTTCGAGTTTGATTTTGCATTTGATTTCCTTGATCTTTTATTATTTTTTGCTACTGAAAGGGAGCGGCCGGATGTTGAATCTTGTTTATACTTATTTGTCTTTTCACGAACTGTGTCTTTTACTTCAGGTGCTTCTACTTGAGTTACAAATGAGTCCCAGTCATGTTCGTCAAGCTGAATGTCGTCTTCAGCGGCAACAGATTTCCTTGGATTGTCAGAAAAGTAATATCCAGATTTTCTTTCGTCTGAATTTTTCAAATTAGAGGCAGTTCTATAGTTTCTTTTTGATGGCTCGTCTTCTAAATGATGGACTTTTTCAGTGCCCTGTCAACATATAAAAATAAAATGCATCAGGATATTGCTAGCCATATTAAATAGAATTTTAGCAGATTATAAGGGCATAATGATATATGACTTATTAGACACTGTTTCTCAAAGAAATAGTATTGTACAAAGTTATAGACTAGCATAATTATTATAAGTTAGTGACCTAGGTAATTAGATAAATTTTCATGTAAGGAATAAAATACATTGATAAGTTGATGGTTATAAATAAACGTTGTGAGTAAATAGAGTTAATGCGTTTATACAGACGAAATTTTGAAACTTTTTTATTTTTAATTGAAATAATAGCAGTTTAGAATTCGCAAAACTGTAATATAAAGCACACGCAAAAAAGAAACTATTAACCACAAGCACACAAGCAAGACGAAACCAAATCTAAAATAACAAATTATTTGGCATGGTGAAATGGCATAAAAAAGGCAAATAATTATAAACTAATGCTTTTTAAATAGTTCAAAGATAAAATGGCAGGAAATCAAGTGTTACATACAACAAAAACTCACTCATTCAAATTAATTATTCAATTCGAGATAACACATTTTTTTCTGAAAACGCTTGAAAACTTTTTTTTAGGAATTAGAAGTTGAAATACATGATTAGAAAATACTGCGAGTATAACAATTGATCAGTTAATGCATTCGTCGTGACTTTTAATTGCAATTAACTAGTAATAACACCTACGTGGCACTAATTACAGATGGTTATTTATTCACTTAATTCATTACATATAGTTATTCAAAAATCTATGAAACGTTTTAAAACATAACAAATACACAAAATTTTTTAAACATAACAAATAAACTGTACTTGTTGTTTCTAATTCTTTTGATGGTGCATGAATTTATTATAGTCAAGCGATAGTGAGCGCCTGTCGTCAGCTAAGATCTTGGGCACCTTACCAGGCGGCAGCTCGACTTTGGCTAGATGCGGAAGTTTCTGTTGACCAATTTTTAAGGCTAATAGCCTCGAAAAACGAATCCGAGGGTCTCATACCTCTCTTCTCGGACCACCAAACTCTCAAGAGGACTTTTGGCTCGATAGCTTTTATATGCCCTCACAGCACAAAGACAAGCCGCTCAGCCGATATAGTGGTAAGCGAGGGTGACTACCATTCCGATGTACCTGGGTTTGAATCTCGGAGATAGCATAGATATTTGTAAGCGTATAGTGTTTGTGCGGCAAAGGTGCACTCAAAGTACACGGGGAACCGGAAGTCCTCTCTAGAGGTTGGGGATAACACAACATAAAGCTCTGTAGTACCATTGGTGACTGAGGTTGCGCTGAGCCTAGCTGATGTTAGAAACGACACCCATCAAGGGACCTACGACAGCTCAGCGCCAGGGGCTGCGCACACTCGATTACCAGACGCCATCTCGCGAACCGCATAGGGTTTGTTTGAATATATTGGAAAGCTGGTTGATGCCACACATCAATGAAAAGGTGATGAGTACCACTTTCAACAAGATAAATGTCCGAATAACTACCACACAGGTCATTTTCTAAGTCCAAATTTACCACAAAGATAGAGACTTTTGGCGAGTAAATTTTGCCACTAAGAAGAAGAGACGCTCAGCCCAAGGAGATGAGGAGTTACTGATGTTCTTTAAAATTTAATTCCATACAATTTTTTATTGTCATGTTTTGGCAGGGTTAGTGTCTTTTCAACCCTAATTTCTGGTTAGCGTAATTCGCAAGTGGATATCGGTATCGAACCGAGGAAGGGGTTTCTAAAACGAGCCAGTGGGCTCTCAGCAGTGACAACTGTTGTATCACTTGACGTTTGCCGCACTTTTGAAATTTACTGCACTCAAACTGAGATTATTTAAAAGTTTTGCTGATCAATTTCCGCTACAAAGTAAGTAGAACATCGCGGGTTCCTTGTGAAATTTTCCAATATGAAATTACGTCAAGAATAAGTTATTATGAAACTTTCACTGGATGAAGGATATGAAAGAAATACAAATACATGCAGAATATTTCCAAATAAAATGTAAACAAGAGCTTTCAAAGATTCATCGTCACAAGAACAGTAAAAGCCTATTGGTCTGTACTCAAGGCCCCTCCCTCGGTTGCGGTAGCGATGTGCACTTCAGGCTATTCTCCAACTTCTTCACAACTGTATCAGCGACATTACGACTCTGGTCGATCATGATATATTTACACACGTGTGGAATTGAATGATTTGTAGCTTAAATTTTGACTGTATCAACAAAATAAACATGCCGATTTATAAAATAATTGCAAAAACATTTGGTGAATTTACTTCTGTACAGTATAACAAACATTTGCATCGGTTATATAGGATGTTTATCATCATGAACTTATAAAGTATTTCTCCGGCCTTCTTAGCATGCCTTCGTGGTGTAGTAGTCAGCACGACGGTAGTAGTGTGGTGTAGTAGTCGGGGTGTAGTAGTCGACGCGTATTCGAGAGGTCCGTTGTTCGAATCCAGGCGATGGCATTGCTCATTTTTCCTGTCTCCTGCTTCCAAATAATCTAATGTCAACAAACGTTTAAAATACTTCACAGATATGAACAACACTGTAATTCAAATATAATTAATATAACTTTGGTGATTTGTTAAATCTTTTCTAATCCTTGATTTTAATGTGCTTTTCAACAATCCATAAATCTCGTTTTTTTTTTTTTTTTTTTTTTTTATTTATTTATTTATTTTTGCAGTAAATTGGGTGAGGTTTTTTTTTTTTTTTTTTTTTTCCTCCCTCTAAGTTCTACAATAATTTATGAGGATAAGCCAGAGCTTAAATTGCTCCGGAGGCTGAACTCCTTAATTTTCAGATAAATTGTAATTCTAGTCGGACCGCCACCGGAGGCCTAAAAGAAGGCTGTTTAATAAGAAGCCGCAAATAAGATAAGGTCAGTATTTTATTAGTGACTATTTGCCACTAATTTAAGAATTTATTAAATGGTGTGTTTATCTCTTTACATTTCCTTTAATTTTAATTATTTATTTATTATTTTAATTATTAATTATAGTAATATTCATTCGTTATTATTTTATTTTTTTTTTTTTTTTTTTTTTTTTTTTTTTTTTTTTTTTCCTATCAGCCTCCTATAGGGATCCTGCGCTTCTAATTTTTAAAACTTAAGCTCTGGTATTTCATTGTATGGGACCCTCGCGTTCCATACGCTTAGAAATATCTTCTTCAAGACTGAGATGGAGCTTAGACAAATAACCCTTGTGTGCTTTAATTAAATTGAATAATTTAACCCACAGCGTAAAGAACAGAACTTTAGATATATGCAGAAAAAATACGAAATTCTAATTGCATTGAAAGTTTTAACCTTTTTCCAGACTGCGATATATAATTTTGGTAAATATATTTATAATTGTGTATAATTTATAATTGTAAATAATGTATAATAATTGTGTAAATGTATAATATGTATAATAATTGTGTAAATGTATAAAATGTATAATAATTGTGTAAATGTATAATATGTGTAATAATTGTGTAAATGTATAATATGTATAATTTTGAATGTATAATTTTGGTAAAATATATTTTAAGTATTTACGAGTTAGATTTTTCTTCGCCTTTCATCGCAAATTCTATCTTTCAGACTTTGATTAATTAAACTTAATCATTTAACTTAAAATTAATTGTAAATTTAAATTTATCATAAGGACCGTTTAATTAAAAAGAACTGTGTGTGGTTTTCTGTTTAGGAAGAGTCGTGTCTGAGATAAATTCTCTTATAATTAGTTATTATTTAGAAGGATTTTATTTCCCCTTTCTACCGAATCCGATTTATTAAACATACCATATTAAACAGCTCACATCTATCCGAGCTTTTATCTTTCATAAAAGTTCTCTTTCACCATTCTTACCAAATTGTGCTTCAAAAAAAACCTCAAGAAAAACGTAGTTATGATATGAATTACAGATTTTTCAACAAATAAGTCAATATTTATTACAGCTAGCTTATGTTCACAACCTCATTTTTTTTAAATCCTATCGAACTTCAATTATCTCTTTTAATACCTGAAAGACATAAAATATATCAACATCAGCGGTGTTTACCTGTTACCAATTATGTTACATTCATGTCGATGAATAGGTAATTCCTTCTTAGTTGTTAAATGCTAATGGATAATTTGTTAAGCGCATGAATTTACAACTTCCGCAAAAAATTTCCAAATAGCTTTTACGTGCACGTAAGCAAGAAATCCATTTGCATCCTCAGGCAAGGCCTTCCAGCAGCACATTTTCCTGTTTGTTAAATTTGATTTAACGAAACGAATTTGTACATTCCTTCCCTTCCTCCACGCTTGTTTCTCGACTTTCAATTAAACTCACCCAATAGCCATCGAAGGATTAGGAACTCCCACTTCCTGTATTTGTTGCAGGCTGTTGCGGCCTCCTCTGAGGCTGTTTAGATAAGCTGCTTCGTGGAAAACACTGTAAAGCACCTTCCGAAAAGAATGCGGAACACCTTGCTACGTTTTTCTATTTTTTACGCAGATAATCCATGCTGCGGATTTTGGAATGACATCATATCAGATGAACATTTCTCAATTACAATAGTGTCTATTCTAATAGGAGTTTACTGAGATGAAGGACTAAAATAGCTAATTCCTTTTCCCGTAAAACAAATTTTTTTCTGACATTTAAATCATTTTAGAAAGTTTGTTTTGCTTAGAGTGCTTTTTACTCCGATCGATTATCTTAAGGAAGTAGAATATAAGGGAATTAATTTAAATTTGACGGAAATAATGGCATAAGAATTTTCTAAAGCCTTCTCGATCTTTGCAAAGTACAGTAAGACCCCGCTTAACGCGGGGGATACGTTCCATCAAAGTAAAGCGTAATGCGAAACAGCGCTAAACGAGGCTATCTTTACATGTAAATATTGGGGTTAGGGGAAGATGGCTAGGAAATTGGTTAGGTATTAAATTTAAAAAGTATGTTTTTTTAATAAAAATAAAACCAAACATTTATTTCTTAAAGCCCAAA